CCTCGCTTAACGCACCTCAACCACCCCATCAACCAACCTCTCAATGCACCTCAAACATCCTCTTTCCTCGCACCCCAACCACCCCCTCAACACGCCTCAACCATCCTCGCTCAACACACCCGAACAATCCTCGCAGACGCACCTCAGCCACCCCCTCTACGCACCTCAACCTCTCCCTTAACGCGCCCTAACCACTACCTGAAAGTACCCTAACCACCCCCTCAACGCATCTCAACCACTCACATCCAATCCAGGCATCTCAGCCATACTTGCTCCACGCACGTCAACCCTCCTCGCTCCATGGACCTCAACCCTCCTCGCTCCACGCCCATTAACTACCGGTTCTCATCGCAATTCAGCATCCCCCGCTGAATCATCCCTCGTAACTTTCTGATCAAAGATGGTTCCAACCCACTCTACCTTTAGACGCATGAAAAGCATCTTTGTATTGTGAGAAGTGTTATTAAATTGTTTTCAGTTTCTTTCGAACAGTTGCGTCATTAAATCTTTGGGTTCCGCAGAAATGTTGTGGATTACCATAATTGAGCAGAAGAAGAAAAAAGTAATATTCCATTAATGTATATGTTTACAGTTATTTTAAATTCCATTACACACATGTTTCGAGGATTTTTGTCATGTTCAAAGCTATCAGCAAATAAAGTATTCAGCGTGTGTTTAGTGGAATTGAATGAAACGCGTACACATCCAGTCCATATGTGCAACAAGAGTACGTTTTTCAACACAATACATCGTTATTACCCCGCTTAGGGATGTATATTATGGTCCGGCATAATTCACCCTCTTTCCATCTTGCTTCATTTTGTAATGAAGAAATGTCAAGGTAGTTGCCAACAATGAGACACAATTGGCACAATGCATTCCCCGCTCCACCTAGTTGACCACATCTCCACAGGAGAGTAGTAGTGTAAAAGGGTCTTGATATTCGGTGTCCCCTCACATTCGGCATTGGCTGAGTAGCAAGCAATTCCTCGCCCAATCTCCAGCAGCTGATGTGCTCGGCGACTGTTCGCTTCGTTTGATGTGCGCAAAAGGCCGACACACGGTGGGTAAGGAGAGCACCGAATGTTCGTCGCTTGACAAATGGCATTCAACCCATCCACACTCCATAGGATTCGGCGAGCGGTCGCTCGCTACTCGCCGAATTCCGCATGCGTAGAACTTCCTTTACAATAGATGGGGATTAGGAAAGCCATCTAAACTATTTAAAATTATACTATTTAAAAATACTTCTGCATTTCCTTCTTTTAGGATTAAAATATTCATATCCTTTGACGACACTGCTGCAGGGATTGACGTTTTCGCAGTACGAAAACAGAAATGCTTTTTAGTCTCATTTTAATTTCATTCATTCATTTTATTTCTCATTTTAATTTAATTTCCCGACACATGTTACACTGATATTCTCGTCGCTTGGCATCGGTGACCAGAGCCATGCCACCGCCTCCTGCCTCCTCTGCGATGTCGTCTTATCCTCAGTCGTGGGGCTCTGTCTTTCCCATCCTTCCTTGCATCTCTCACTTTCATTTCGCTTTCCACTGTCTCATGTCCATTCCTTTCCATCGCCAAACCCGATTCACATCTCACTCCATCGCTACCTTTATGTGAAGTGACTTGAAGGCTCAGTTCCTACAGCAAATATATTAGCGTCACCAAGATGGTTAAAAAGTTAGCAAGTTTGTAATGTTTTATGATTTGCTTTTGAAATTGGAAATAGTAGGATACCTAAATTATTGTATTTAAATTCAGAATGTATAGATCTAGTTTTAAATGCAATTTACGTTTGATGCATAGTTTGCAAGTACATATTATTTTCTTCTGACTTTTATTTCTGTATTTTCCCACCTACCTTTTGTTATTACTTTTAAATGCGACTCAAATAATAATATCTGGTCCTGAAAGTTTCTGCACTTGTGCAGTTTATGAAAGTTTGATTTCATCCCTCTAGCACACAAAGCGGGTCTGAATCCTGAATAATATGACTTCTGTCGATTTAGCCGCTCCTATTTATATTAACCAACGTTTGAAAAGAGTATTATAATTGCAAAATAAAAAAATAGATATTCAGTATTCTCTTTTTTGTTTCTTTCTAGTGTTTTCATTTGATCTCGTTAGTGCATTTACTCCCATTTTGGCTCTTCCTTCTCTGCCGTGAATCATCGTGGCTAGCTGTGACAAAAATACTTAAAATATTTACAGAATCGTTCTCATATTCGTGGAATGTGATGACCGTACGACTCACGCCAGAATGATGCAGTCGCCTCTGCGCTGCCGAGAGCGCGTGCGTGGTGCGTCCGACACAGCAGATTGCTCTTCCTTTTGCGGAACCCACATGCGCACGGGATTCGCGACTGCTTCACCGCTTCCGTTTGAACCGTCCGGGCAAACATGAGCATCCGCGACCCCAACCCGGCGAGTACACGGCGGCGTTTTCCTTCTCGGTCGAAGCCTCGAGCCGCTCACGTGGTTGTTTTACATCTTGCCTTTATTCACTTTCTCGCGCCTCGCCGGCGGAGACCCACTAACCTCCAGGCGCGGCCACTTACGTTACGCACTTCACATTTCTCCACTCTGTCGCCGTCCATAACTCTCAACAGGCTAGTAATGGCAGATTCAAGGCCATGGCCTCACGTACTAAATAAGGCTCTTCTTGCCCCCTTACGCTCGTACTGGACGCGTCCTATGTCGCCGCTACTGTGCAGCATGTACTTCCTAAAGGTGATGCATGATGGGCGGGAATGGCCTTCATGTCACCCTATGTGTCGCCTTGAGGGCATGGCAGGTTCCCGGACGTGAACGCATCATGCCTCCTTTGCAGAAAGCCGTCGCGCTACTCCCTCTACTGTACTCTGCCTCACCATTCGTTGTCAATCAACCCCTCATAACTGTGGGGTCCCGACGGTGGCGGTTTCTTGACACTATCTGGGGCGAATTCAGACATTTTTTACCTGGAGGAGAATTCTAACGGCCAGCTATAATGATCGGTAGTTTTCCGTCATTTATCTGATCAAAAGTAAGCGAATGCCGAAGCATTGCCTTTATAAAAGGGCAGAGATCCCGAGCGATTTTCCCTTCCTCATTATTGCCCCAACTTTCCCCTCTACTATACCCACATACACATACACTCCCACACATGCCGCGTTACCAGCCGGGACATTAGAGCTTGCTTCGGCTAGAGCGGTATTCCACCCGAGCGAGGTGACGACCCTGCATGCCGACGTGTAGGTCGGCGTCGGAATCTTTCTTCCCTGCGGTCGAGGAGCACCGTCTCCCAGCTTTAATAAATACTAAAAACTCCCTCACTCCCTCAACCACCTAATCCGACTCTCAAGCTTAGCTTCCGACCCTTCCAGTCTTATCTCATCATGGAGAAAACCTCAGACAAACTGGAATCCTCACTTGTTCGAAATTCAAAATCAAGTAGCCTATAATTTTGTACTCATTTTGTACCAGAATAATTTTTTTTGTACTCAATAAAACGTATTAATATAAACAATAAAAAACACATCCAAAAGTGGGGATGCTAGCTTAACGTCAGGCTAGCACCCCCACTTCTCATAAATTCAATTCGGAGAGAGAATGCTTATGTTTCTTGCATCTGTGGTGACGTTCCTTTGAACGTAGGGTCTATTTCCTGGATTGCGGATGCCAAAAGGTATTAAGGTCATCTAAGGTAATAACAAATGAATTATATTTGACCTAGCTCTCAAATTCCAACATTTTTCAACGTGTCCATGCAATTTGCTTGGAAAGGATATCGATAAGAAAGAATCTTAGCGTTTCTCCTTGTTATACAAAATTTCCAAGTATTTTTAATGCTTTTCATTATCATACGTTGTAATGGATATCAAACGGTTGCGCGTAGAGGTTTTCATAAGAATTTTTAACTCATTTGTAACTCATGGAGAAGCAGACCACGAGAAACATTAACCAAGGAGCATGCTTATTAGGCCGTTATGAATCATGGAGCAGGCTTGTTAGGCCCACTAAACACTAATCCTTTCAATTCTAACTAGTACTGTTGATAAACCTCTACACACAAATTTTAAATAAAAGGCTCGTTAATATATTTTAATAATAGAATAAAATTGTTTTAGAAAAGGACGCCTTTGGAGACGAACTCTTGCCGTTCCGCAAAATATACATTGTTAATCTACGACGTGCGTTGCTTGTTATGTAAAATCCTCTTCGGTAGTGCTGTGATCTATTGAATTTTCGTTTTTTGAACATTTCTCAACTTAACATAGCAATCCAATACTCTACCCGTCACTACGACATTTTGTAACTTTTAATGATCGAAATTTTTAGGCCAAAAATGACGTTCTTACATGTTACTTCACAATTAAACTTTGAATTTTATTTAACGTCAATATCAAATTTAATTTGAAGTTTTTAATTTATACCTCATTGAATTTGCCATACGTGTACTTTAAAATACTAACCTTCATGGTTTCAATTCCTGTTTGATTTGTTCAGATTTGAGTTTTGTGTAGAAGTGAATATTGAACATTTAAATTCAGAACTTTATTCTAAATTTATATTAATAAATAGCAAATTTACACAATTTTTTAAATTTTAATTAATGTTTCAAGAAACTAATGTAAATTGTATTCTTAGTCACAAAACAATATACATTTTACTTAAATCAAGGATGTCAGGAACTTTGGTATACCTTTAGCGAGATAGAATTTGGGAATTCTTTGCAAAAAGATCAGGAATAAATGTTTCTATATGGACAGTGACGCTCTTATATTTTCCTACCAGATCTTTATACAAAATTATTTCTTAATTAAACCATTTTACAATGCTCTTAAACAGCTTTCATACAATTCAAGCACAATATTACAAATGATCAGAAAATAATGAACTTTACCACGAAAATATTAACGTAAAATATTTTCAAACTTCTCTGAAACAATATTCAAAACCAAACTGGAGCACCATGTACATACATTTTAGTTTAGAGTAGTTTATTTTTGAACGCTCCTATTTCTTTCAGTTACTTTACGTTCATACGTTTCGAATGTTGAGAATTAGCGTGACTTTCTTAAAATAACAAATATTCTTAACGAAGTCCATATGTTCAAAGCTATCGCATTAAAATTAACAGGACTAGTTTGGCATTTCGAAACTTGCAACGAAATTTTTATACAATGTAAAAAATACATGCTTAATACAAATTCTACATTTTCAGTTTCGTTCCTTTCTTACATCATCACCGCATGATTCGAAGCTGCTCCTCCGGACTTTCTGAAACAAAAAAAGGTCAAAGACCTACATTGTACAACAGTGGGTCATTGAATTTCACAATATAATAAACATCTTAATATTTGAAACTGAAATACGTTAAAATTCTGAATTGCTATTACACTCATTAATACGTTTTTATTCAATCAACGGCGAAACACTACAAACGTTTGTCTTTGATATATCCAATCTTTAACTAAGCGAAATGAAAAACTAATTTCTACTCATTTCTGGAAATCCAACTCATGTTTTAATCATCATTTATAATTACGGGTGTGTTACACTGAAAAGTATATAGTACTTTTGAATCTTAAGATAACGAATATTTATTGACGTTTGCTGTAAGTCAATTTTGGAAGTTTCGTTTATATTGATCGTAATGTCTAGAGTATACTGGGGTGCAAAATTACTTTTTCGAGTGATCCTGTCAAAAGAGCCTTCTCCCAACACATTGTAGCTCTAGGTCGAAAGCGACGCTCACCTGAAAATTGTAATTAAATGTACGTTATTTCGTACTTTTTTCGCAAGCGTTGCAAGAGTAACAGCGTTCGAAAATCAAGGCCAGGAACTAGGAACAACGTTCACACGTTTTAATAGCCATTTATGAAAAAACTATGAGAAAGTATTGTTTAATAAGATTAATGGGTGCTTCAATATTTAAGGCCATTGGCGACCTTGTCAAATTGTCTGTTGAAACTAAGTCCACTCAAATCTCCTTTTCCAAATTTGAAGTTAATTATAATGTTGAACTGCATTATAAATTTTAATTTTGATATTTGATTAAATATGTTTTAAAAATATCGGAAATTTACGTGAAAAGTGCTTTATTGGCAGCTTTTTAAAATTGTTTATAGTTGAGTACAAAATTATTTATTTCGTTAGATAAGTAGGTATCTAGCAGAATATAGACGAGCTGATTTTGAATTTCTGCGAAGGGGGGTGCGATGGCCGACACTTATTTTCAACCGCTCGCAACTTTTCGTGTGTGTAGACTGTAATATCTTTGAGGACCAGATAAATTTTTAAAATTATCTCATGTGAAAGTCTGTTGAACTGCATTGAGTTTTAAATTAAACTTAAAAATTTGACTCAAAATGCGTTTTAAAATATCGGTGCAAGTTTGTGTGTATGCGCAAGGGTTAGGATAGGACAATGAATGGGAAGGAAAGATTGCGTGCGGTCCGTGGTCTGTGTTAAGGTACTGCTCCGGCATTTGCCTATTATTGATCGGCTAAATCACGGAAAATTACCATCAGACCAGCCGGCCGCTAGAATTCTTCAGACAGCGATAGAAGTCTACCTAGCTGCCTAGCTAGTGTCGAAAACCCTGCCTCAGTCGGGACTAGAACCTAGGAACTGCGGCGGCATCCGTTGGATGCGATGGTATACCTCTCCTGGTTTAATTTTGGAGGCAATGGGCAGAAAGCCTATGTAACCTTTTGAACCTATGTTCTCTTTAAACATTTTTTCCCTTGTATAAAGGAAAGTACATTTATAAATCAATATAGTTTCGATTTTAACCAAATACAATTTTGAAAATTTGAACGCGTCTCCACACATGTTTAATACAATTTAAACATCAACTTTAGATATTTAAATGACTTCATTAATCTTACAAAAATCGTTACGTGTTCGAGTAATAATGCAAGTAGAAATATTACATATGCCCGTCTTTCACTTAAGTTTACGAAAAAATCTAAAACCTCTAATCCTGACAAAAGTGTCATTCAGGATTTTAAAAGAAAACTTCTTGCATTCCAACTATCATTCACAATGAAATAAACTGTAAATTTAATGAATATTAAGACAAGTTTATTATAAGTTTCATAGCTCTTGTTTTTGAAGAATGAGAATAAGATTTGTGGCATGTTGCGCGGTTGCAATATGCCCAATTAATTGTATTTCAAATTTTGATGTAATTAGACTAATGTTACAAAAACAACTATGTAGCGAAGTTTCATACTTTCGTGAAATCTTAACACTAGCTGAAACGTATTGTATATCGGCATTACGAGATTTAAAATCCAACATTCACATAGCAAAACGGGATGAAATAAAAGATCAGCCAGATTCAAAATCCAGGACACAATGGAGATTACAATCGCCAATGAAATTACGAAATTCCTTTAAAA